TCTCTCACCCACGGCAGCAATCTCTCACCCACGGCAGCAATCTCACCCACGGCAGCAGTCTCCCACCCACGGCAGCAATCTCTCACCTGTCTCTGAGGAAGTGATGGGAGAAGGTTTCAGGGTAGCCGAGGTTGGTCCTGATGAGCTGGGAAAGTTGTGGATGAGGCAGGAGGGCTGGAGGAGGCGACTCTGACCTAAACCTGAGGAGCATCATCTCCTGAGCTTCCTGGAAGCAGAGAGAAGCTGAGTGCAGGAAGCAGCAGTGAAGCCCAGCCTGAGGATGAGGATGGGGAAGGAGTCTACCTCTCTGGGGAGCAGAGAACTGGCCTCTTGGCCCACGGCCTGCAGAGCCACATGGAGCTGGCCTTCCACCATCCGCTGCTTGTTGTCCTCCACCACATACGCCTGGAGACAGAAAAGCTTTTACCTTAATGTCCCTAATAGAAGCACCATGAGGAGCAGAGAGGCACAGCGAGGGGCTAACGGAGCTCGCTAACGTGTCCTGCTAGTCATCCTCAGACGCTGAAGGACAGCAGCTTTGATCACTGTGAGGATGATGATGATGTCAGAGGGACCAACCTTCCAGATGACGATCAAATGAAGGTCCAGCTCATTGCACTTCTTGGCGATGCTTGTGATGTCAGAGGGGGGAGGGGCCTGGCCTCTGCTGCTGGAGGAGCTCCTGGCTGGTTGGTGGAACTCTGAGCTCTGATGGCAGCGGAAGAAGAAATCTCCACAGGGTGTGGAGGAGCTGACGATCTGCAGACAGGAAACGGCTCCGTGATTAAAACGCTGCAGCAGAGCCGCGACTGGAGGCGCATCAACCGCCGTGCAGCTGAATGAGACGCACGTGACCTCTGACCTCTTCCAGAACCACTAACAGTATTTAGCGCTCATAGTAAGAGGACAGCTGCAGCGTTAAAACCTGAAAGCGTCTCCAGGCCGGCGGCGTCCGCTCAGGTGACCCCAGAGAGGACCTCCACCTGCAGGGGGAACCTTCAGGAACCAGTGGTGGTTCCTAATGGGGGCCTCTGGGACCTGAGGGCCCCCTGCTGGACTGGTTGAACGGCACCAGGAACCGCTCCTTGCTAAAGGGGGGAAGAGTTAGAGCATCCTAATGTAGAAAAGTAAAGAATGAAAGAAATTACCCGTTCGTTTCCCAGATTCAGGTCTGAGAAAGTGAATTCCTTCACATCATCAGCTCCTGTTAACAATGAGAGACAGTCAGTCTGAGAAAGGCAACTACGGTTGCTTCATTATGCACCCTAACAACAACCAATAACTGAAGTTAGCCACACGGCAACTAAGGGCCAATCAGAGGGTAACTAAGGGCCAATCAGAGGGCAACAAAGGGCCAATCAGAGGGCAACTAAGGGCCAATCAGAGGGCAACAAAGGGCCAATCAGAGGGGGCCTGTGTGTTTTTGAAGTACCTTCATGGGGTTTGCATCGCGTAGCCTTAAAGCACAGCTTGGCTCGTTCTCGGCTGCTGAGTCTGCAATCTGGAGAGAAAGAAAAAACAGTGATGCTGCCATTCTGCTTCCCATCAGAGGGCGCCCCGATACAGTACTGAGGTCACGGCCATCAGAGGGCGCCCCGATACAGTACT